CGTATTGTGTTTGTTAATTTTAGTCAATATGCACACGTTAGACGTAGATACACAACAATAATCTTTGATAAACATTCGATATAGAATTACTCTTTCCATTACTTTCCCAAAACAGACTTTCACACACACACACACACACACACATACCACAACCCCCCACATGCACAAACAGACACACCGCGAACAGAACAAAGCAAATCGAAAGAAAGAAAAACAGAAAGAACTAAAAATAATAATAATAATAATAAGATCCCGACCTCGCCTCCTCTCTCCCACAGGAAAGGTCGGCGGATGGAAGGAGAGTCTCAGCGCCGAGCAGATCGAGGCCTTCCAGCGGTGGGAAGACAGGCACTTGGCACACTCCGATTTTCGCTTCACGTTCACGTCCGGGGAGGCGAGGGAGTGAGCGAGGAGTGGAAGGAAGAGGAAGAGGAGAGAAGGAGAGAAGAGGGGAGAGGAGAAAAAGAAGGAAAGGAGGGAGAGGAGAAGAAGAGAGAGGAGAGAGGATAAGAAGGATGGGGGAGGAAGTAGAGGAGGAGAAGGAGATGAGAAAAAGAAGAGTGAGTGAGAAATGGAGGAAGAAGGAGAGGAGAGAAGAGGTAGGAAAAGAGAAGGAGAGAGAGAAAAGAAGAGGAGGAGAAGGAGATGAGAAAAAGAATAGTGAGTGAGAAATGGAAGGAAGAAGGAGGGAGAGGAGAGAAGAGGTAGAAGAGTATATATACTTTTTTGTTGTTTTGTTAATCTATTGCCTTTTTTGTTTCCATATTTGTTTGATTATAAATATACAAATATGAATAAGAGCGTTTCCTTTTATTCTTCGACAGGGAAAATAACGATTGTAAAAGTTTCTTTGAATCAGTAACATTAAAGATTATCATACTAATATCGTTAATGTAGTAAAAATAATCACGGTGGACGCAATGTCAGCAATAAATATGCAAAAAAAAAAAAAAAACAAACAAACAAAAAAAACAATCGTTCTTACAGTGACGATCATAAAGATAATAAGAATTAAAGAGATGTAGAGAAGTTTCTAATAGCAACAAAAAACAATATGATGATGACAATAACAGAAAATAATGGTCATGTCAGTGACAGTAATGATAATGGTAATAATGGTGTGTGTATGTGTAGATATTGATATACATTCACATATGTGTGTGTAGATAATGATATACATTCACATATGTGTGTGTGTAGATATTGATATACATTTACATATATATGTGTGTGTGTGTGCGTATGTATGTGTACACACATATATGCGTAAAGAGAGAGATGTGAAGTTGGGGGAAAAGGAATTATTATCTTGTTTACCCTTCAAGTACAAGAAACTAAATCTTAAAATGAAAAAGAAACAGCTTTCAAAATCCGTCTTTCTTTGACTGCATAAAAAGGAATCTCTCTTGCTCGTGGAGATTCTAAACACAAAAATGCTAATTAGCATATATAACTTGGTAATCCAGGCGCACTTTGCAAGATAATGAAGAAAGTTGCTTCACATGGACACAGATATTACATGGAGAAAGGGAAGGAAATCTGCGTACACAGGGAAACACACATACGTGAACACACACCCATACACAAAAAAAACACACACCACACACAAAAACAGGCACAAAAAAAAAAAAAAAAAAAAAAAATAGATGAATAAATAAAACACGCACACTTGCACCCATTTCCTACCTGTCTTCGGGTAACTGCACACCACAACATCTCCGGAACGAAACTCAAAGTCCAAAACTTCTTGAAACATCCCCGACCTCAAGATGGTAACCGGGATGATGCAGCCCTTGTACCTTGAGTGCGCCAAAGAGGTTTAAAAGAACGATTATCCAGCTATCCCATACAACGACTATCAGACACTATCAACCATCCAGGTGTATACAAGAACGACTATCCAGCTATCCTGAACGACCTTCATTTGAATCCACATATCCAAACAAGTTAGAAGAACGACCATCACTTAAATTTAGTTATCCAGTTGAGTTAGAAAAAGGACTATCACTTAAATCCAGTTATCCAGAAGTTACAAAAAATTTTTTACTTCAATGGGAGAAAAGAAAAATATGCCTATTCGTGTGTTTTCTTGTTTTCTCCCAGTTGTTCCTGTTGCAGGTCAATGTTTTTATTCAGATGAGTTGCAAGAACGACTTTCATCTGAATCCTGTTATCCAAACGTGTTAGAAGAACCAGAAGTTACAAAAACAACTTCCATTTCGTGGAGTTACAAAAACGATGTTAATCTACTTACTGGAGAGTCGAGATTTATTATTATTTTCAACATTTCTTTTTTGTACAAAGGAGCTTTTTATTTCTTTTGCAAAACTAAAATAAAAGATAATGGTAATTAATGATAGATAAATAATATAGATATCGACTAGATATAAAATATCTTCATAGACAGATACAAATAAATAAATATACATAGCAAATATATAAACAGACAGATACAGATATATTCAAATAGATTCGAAGATATACTTACTCATAATGTTCATTCCTCGTGAGAAGACCCTCTGGCACCTGCACCAGCTTGGCACCCTCTGGCAGTGGGGATGCTGCCCTCCTCCTCCATCTGACGGAAGCTGACACGAAAATAAGCTTAAGGTATATGCTGTTATATTCTTTCCGCCATAATGCAATATGATGAGCGAGTTCAACTTAAGCTGTTTCTGGGAAATGTTGGTTACGATATCATTAATATTTGTGAACTATTTTTGGGGGGGTTGTCCGTCTATCTATCTGTCTGTCTGTCTTTGTCTGTCTGTCTATCTGTCCGTTTGTTTGTATATTTGTCTGTCTGTCGTCTGTCTGTCTGTCGTCTGTCTACCTGCCTGTCTTTCTATCTGTCTGTCTAGTCAGTCCGTCCGTCTGTCTGTCTGTCTTCTATCTGTCTGTCTGTCTGTCTGCTTGCCTGCCTGTCTTCTATCTGTCTGTCTGTCAGTCCCGTCTGTCTGCCTGCCTGTCTGTCTATCTGTCTGCCTGTCTGTCTAGTTCCGTGGTTCCCAGCCGGTGGGTCGCGAAGCCTGGTGGAAAAATATCCTAAGCCAATCAGCTCGGCGTTCGTCAGAGTAAGAATACATCATGAAGTCGTGTCTGGAAGGAAGATTGCTGAATAATCAGGTAAATAAATCCTGAAAGAGCTTGCTGAATATCCTTTTTAGAAATTCTAATGGAGCTAGTTTGTGTGTGTGTGTGTGTGTGTGTGTGTGTGTGTGTGTGTGTGTGTGTGTGTGTGTGTGTGTGTGTGTGTGTGTGTGTGTGTTTGGGAATGGCTGATATCAGGAAGTCGCAGATGTTTCAAAGTTTTCGGAAAGGGGTCGCGAGTATAAATTGAAAACTACTATTTAACTATATATTTAACCATTTCATTCATTCGTTAAATAAATACGTCTCTCACAAATCCTCTTTGCTTTATTTATTCTTCTTTCTTTCATTTAACTTAATTTATTTCCTTCTGTGTCTGCATCGGCGACTCTTGTGATTCGGAGCAGGAGCAAGCCCGTTGAGGTTATTTTTCTGAAGAGTGTGAATAGGAGTTTCAACTTTATCGGCTTAACTGCGGTCTATAAACACCCAGAAGGAAGGAGATATTACAGAAACGTATCAAATTTGGCCTTTGAAATTGGCGTGACATTACACTTTTGAAAACATAAAATATGGAAGATTATTTTTTTTTTATCAACGTTAGCACAAGTGAGCATAAATCAATTTCTGCGCTGGGTTTTTTTTTTTTCTAGGAGTACACATGCTACGACCAGGCTGTAGTGTAAAGTCTTGTGGGGAGCATATATACACACAAATGCATGGGTATGTGTGTTTGTGTGTGTGTGTGTGTGTGTGTGTGTGTGTGTGTGTGTGTGTGTGGTGTGTGTGTGTGTGTGGTGTGTGTGTGTGTGTGTGTGTGTGTGTGTTGTGTGTGTGTGTGTGTGTGTGTGTGTATATTTACATACAATATATACATACATATATATATGTATATATATATGTATATATATATATATATATATATATATATATATATATATATATATATATATATATGTATATGCATATGTTTGTGTGTGCGTGCATGCGTGCGTGCGTGGTTGAGTGTGTGGGTATGCGTATATGGGTGTTTGTATTGCAATCACACACACATACACATGTGTGTGTGTGTGTGTGTGTGTGTGTGTGTTATAACTTATTGATGTATTTTCGAAACTAATGCAACTAGATAACAGGCAAAATAATGATAGAAATAAGATAATATCATCGCTCAAAACATCTATAATAAAGAGGATAAGAATGAGAACTATGATAATAATACGGATAGTAATGGCTCCAGTACTAATATTCAAATAAAATAAAAGTTTCCCCTCATGATATTCCATTCTCTGGTTTCTCGTTTTCTATGAACTGCTGCCAGCTCTTGCCAAAAATTCGTTTTCTTTTTTCTATTCAAATCTGTTGGTATTCCAAATAATGTGCTGCATACAATGGTTAGTATCAAAGAATACACCTTAAGACTGATCATGCTATTTCAGACCTTTTATCAATTTGATAGTTCAAGGTTAATGACCAATAACCTCACACGAGAAGAAAAGGAATTATCTGCTTTGTGTTTCCAGCAATTTTTCCAACTATCTGCTTTGTGTTTCCAGCAATTTACTAACTATCTTTTTTCATTAATCACATTATACATCACTTATGGAGATAATCTTCGGTGAATTAATCTACATACTTAACTTATCTATGCAACAATGAATTGTTTTCTGGCGGTATCTACCAACCGACAGCCGCTTCAACAGATAAACAGAAATGACTGTGCACATTGATGAAAGGAATTCAGCTTATGTCTATTTCAACCTAATATCCAACTCCCTGCTTTTCAAACTTCTTCCACTCAACAACTACATACCCACCTTCATGTAAGAAACACGGGATTTCGTCCCCAGCCCCAAACATAGCTTTTAAAGGATATTAAAAGCGTCTGGAACTTCAAGAGACAAACTTACCTCTCAGAGCCCGGGACACACGAGTCGACACACGCTGAAGGTTAACTGTCTCACCATTCGTTTTAAACCAAAGTTTCTATTCCTTTCAACATATACTATTTGTCTCTCTTTAAAAGGAAGATCGTAAATCCACATGAACTGATTACGTTAGGGTATCGAATGTTGATCATCTATGATCATTATATTATCACTGGATATTTAAAATCTCATATCATTGTAATACCGGGATTGTTTGATTCATTGCTGTCCACCGTGATTATTTTTACTTCATTAATAAGTATCATCTTTAATGCTACTGATTCAACGAAACTTTTACAATCGCCCTTTTCCCTGTCGGAGAATAAAAGAAAATTTGATATTTTATATTTTGTATTTATAATCTGAAACAAATATGGAAACAAAAAAGGCAATAGATTAACAAAAACACAAAAAATATATCTCCTCTTCTACTCTTCCTCCATCTCTTCATCTCCTCTCCCTCCTTCCCTTTTTTCTCGCTCACTCTTCTTTTTCTCCTCTCCTCCTCCACCTCTTCTCTCTCTTCCACTTCCTTCTCCTCCTCCTCTCCTTCCCCACCTCTTCTCTCCTCTCCTCCTCTTCCACTCCTCGCTCACTCCCTCGCCTCCCCGGACGTGAACGTGAAGCGAAAATCGGAGTGTGCCAAGTGCCTGTCTTCCCACCGCTGGAAGGCCTCGATCTGCTCGGCGCTGAGACTCTCCTTCCATCCGCCGACCTTTCCTGTGGGAGAGGAGGGCGAGGTCGTGTGTATATTAACTTCTCTAATATTAACAAACAAAATACGAGGAGCATTGTAGGCTCTCTCTCTCTCTCTCTCTCTCTCTCTCTCTCTCTCTCTCTCTCTCTCTCTCTCTCTCTCTCTCTCTCTCTCTCTCTCTCTCTCTCTCTCTCTCTCTCCCTCCCCCTCACCTTTCCTGAGGAAGCTCCCCTTGTCCTTGTGGCAGAATCCCGAGTCCTTCCAGTGCTCGTAGTTGACGCTCGGGTTGGAGGCCATGGAGGCGAAGGAGGTGCAGGCGGCCACGTACTCCAGCTGCTCCTCGCTCGCCTCCACCTGGGGTCACACGGGGTCAAAGGGGAAGGTTACAACACAAGGGTCAAAAGGAGGTCAAACGAGAATGTTAACTTCTCATTTTATCGAACTGATAGCTAAATAAACAATTGCAAATAAGCAAATAAGTAGCAAAAATAAATTAACAACGAAAGATAATATAAAACAAAATAGAAAACGGACTCGCCTGGAGGAAGTGGGCGAAGTAACAAAAATAAATAATGAAAAAAAGAATAAAAACCGGATGAAAGAAAATATAATAAAAAAAAACAACAACAGAAAACGGACTCGCCTGGAGGAAGTGGGCGAAGTAACAAAAATAAATAAATAATGAAAGAAAATGCAATAAAACATGACAGAAAACGGACTCGCCTGGAGGAAGTGGGCGAAGTAATAAAAAATAAACAAATAAGTAGCAAAAACAAATAAATAATGAAAGAAAATACAATAAAACATAACAGACGAAAGAAAATATAATAAAAAAAAACAACAACAGAAATCGGACTCGCCTGGAGGAAGTAGCGAAGCAACAACAACAAAAATAAATAATGAAAGAAAATGCAATAAAACCAACAGAAAAGGACTCGCCTGGAGGAAAAGCGAAATGCAATAATAAAATAAATAAATAAATAATGAAAGAAAATACAACAAAACCCAACAGAAAAGGGACTCGCCTGGAGGAAGTGGGCGATCCTGCGAATGGCCTTGAGCGCGTCCTGGTGCAGCTCCTCGTAGGTGACGAAGAGGAGGTTGGGGTCCCGACGCGCCTCCCAGAAGCCCAGGACGTGGGGCATGAAGGGGCTGTACATCGCTGGGGGCGTAATTAATTATTAGAATAGTAGTAATAATGATAGCTAGGGCTGTAGTAGTAATAATAGTAATTATTATGATGGTAATAAATGGTAATAAGAGAAGTTATAGTGATAATAATGAAGGGTGAAATGGTGGTTAGTTTAAGTATTGATTAAATACATGTCCTTTTTCAAACATAAAGCTTTTGGTTGGGGTAATTTTTTCAATCATTTTATTAAAACTTAACTAATTGATGTCTGAATTATATTTTTATATTTTTTTTGCGTTGAAATTCTAATGGATTGTACCATTAGTGGTGAATTTCGCACACGAGCTAACAATACACAGAATTTTCATTAAAATCATAATAGGCAAAAGGCTTAAATTTTGCATTAAGTTATAAGGACATGGCCAAGACATTGGAGTTTGAATCATATATAAATGAAGTTTTTAAGAATTACAATAAAGGAAGTTATTCAAGGAAACCTCCTTAACTACGGTCGGAAAACCTGTAGGTATATGCATTTATCTTCGTTTTTTTTTTTTTTGATGAAGACAGCAGTCACAGATGATATAAACCGAACCAAAGATACCTTTTACAGCGTTATATACCTTTGTCCTCAAGGAACATCTGAACGTAATCCGCCAATGTGCCTTTGAAAGAAGCCACAGACACCAGCTGCATGAAGTTGTAGTAAGACACGGCCGTGTCACGTGGGTTTCGGGTCACGTAGACCATCTGCCGAGGTCAAGGGTCATGAGGGTGAGAAAGACAAGCAGATTTTATTGCCTAGTGATAACTATGACGGTAGTAATAGTATTAACATGGTTGATATTAATGATAATAGCAGTAATGATAATAATAGTGATGATATTACTAATAAGGATAATGCTGATAATGAGAATAATAATGATGATGATAATGATAATAACAATGATAATAATGATAATAATAATAATAATGAAATAATGATGAAAATGATGATAAAATGATAATAATAATGATAACAATAATAATGATTTAGCTAAGATAATAATAGAATTGACCTTTCCTTCCCCTCTCCCTCCCATAACAGATCCTTACCGACTGACCTTGGCTCCCGACGAAGCGAAGGACTTCGGCAGGAGATGGCGAGGCAGGTGCGTCTTGATGCACCGCGGTCCCTCCATGGCTGCCACCGCCCTCACGCCCGGGAACGGGAACTCCAGGAATGGGAATCGGGTCTCCAGAGTGCCATCCTCAGGTTTGGACTTCTGGCACCCGTGGGTCAGCATGTACACGATCTCCTGCGTCCAGGTTGTGCCTTAGGGAAAGGACGTGGAAATGAGGAGGCCTGCCCATCTATGACACTTTTTGTTCACCACGGGGGGTATAGGGGCGGGAACAAAGATTTGAATTTTGAGTCAAATATAAATGATTTTTTTTTTTTTTTTTTTTTTTTTTTTTTTATTTTTTTTTAAAACTACAACAAAGGAATTTATTTTTTGGAAACTCCTCCAACTACGGTCGAAAAACCTTGGGTAGGCAGACCATTCCAATTAGCTTGAGATTTCTCCATAATCACAGTAACTCAGTTTGTATGTATTACTTAGACTGAATTTCTGGCACTTTAACGCAAATGCATATTTTCAGTAAATCATGTAATCCTCTGCTTTATGTCTGGACGTAAGCTTGGCACTCAAGCCCTTTTTTGTAATTTAATGCAGGGTAGTCCATTGGTATTGTGAATCTAATCTAGGACGATTTTTTTTTATTTATTACCCGTCTTTGGAAAGCTGCCAACGATGACGTCAGTGGAACGAAACTGGAAATTCATGACTTCCTCGAACATTCCAGATTTCAAGATCATTCCTGGGAAAACACATCCTTTGTACCTGTGTTGAAGAAGTGGAAAACATTACTCTAAATCTGGTTATGTGCTGTGTTAAAACTCGACATTATCTGTCTTTTCTTATCTCTGATATCTCTGCTTATATAAACAGTCTCTCCATCTATCTCTATACATCTATTAGCCCAAGGTACTTAACACTAACAAAGTACTTTTTTGATATAATGTCCCTTGTTCTAAGTGTGTCTAATTAACTATCCCAACACAACACCAGGCTGTAAATTCCATCAGTTCTTCACAAGGAGCCATTTTCCGGATCCCGCGACGGACACGGACCAAGGACAGACACGGACGGATCCCAAGACTCACAGGTAATGGGCGTCGTTCGCCAGCAGTCCCTCGGGCAGAGGCACCGGCGTCGTTCCTTCCGGCGGAGGGTGCTCTCGCTCGGCCACCTCCAGGCTGGCTGCGTTGGCGTCCGTCATTGTGGCTGAAAGATTCGCTTATGGAATATTAAATAGATATTTGATTGCGTTTGCGACACACGCACACACACACACACACAACACACACACACACACAACACACACACACACACACACACACAAACACACAAAACAAACACACACAAACAAACACACACGCACAAACACACAACACAACACAACACACACACACACAAACACACAACACAACACACACACAAACACAGCCTGGTGTCTTAGTAGATAATTTTGTTATGGTATTTTAGGTTCGATGATATGCATCTGATCAAAATAGAGAGATAGATTATAGAGATATAGATAGATAGATAGATAGAGAGAGAGAGAGAGAGAGAGAGAGAGAGAGAGAGAAGAGAGAGAGAGAGAGAGAGAGAAGAGAGAGAGAGAGAGAGATTGAAACAGAAAGAGAGAGTGAGAGAAAAGAGAGTGAGATAAAGAAAAGAGAGGGAAAAATATATATAGAAAGCGCCGGAGCAGGTATTAAATAGATAAGTAGAGAGAGAGAGAGAGAGAGAGAGAGAGAGAGAGAGAGAGAGAGAGAGAGAGAGAGAGAGAGAGAGAGAGAGACAGACAGAGAGAGAGACAGACTGACAGACAGACAGACAGACAGACGTCCCAAAACTCCCTACCTCTACTGATGTCCTGGGTACACTGAGGACACTTCTCAGACTGCATCGTCTCAAGGTCTTGATGATAATGTTGTTGCCAGACATAGAGTTGTGTTTAGGATAAGGAGAAAGATAAAGATAAAAAAGCCGATATACGAAGCTGAGACTCCGCGGGCTATGAGGGGAGAGCCCGACCTGTGCCGACTAATGCCGACTCGATCAACGTGTGTCAGGGAAGTGTCATTACCACCATGATGACCAGCCACAAGCAGTCAGTGACCTCGGGCGACAATGCAAACTTCGCG